AAATATCATTTGGAGTTTTCTGGCGCCATTTTGGTAATCAACAATTTCAAAAACTACAGAAGTTTCTGCAAAAAAGTTTGAAACAATTTGTCAAATTTTCTTAGAGTAATGAGACTTTTAAATAGGTTTTGGTGTTTTTTTTTTCAGTATTAAGTCTTGAAACGCTCTAATAACTACAGATGTGCACTCATACAGATAAATGCTTTTATGATTGCATGTAGCCGGAATTCATCTGCCGAAAGTTACGTAAATAGCGCTCTCCATATAACAACGTTAAATGGCGCAAAAAAACGAACAATTTCTAGTTTCGAAAGTGGAATTTAATTTTTAGATTTCCAGCGGAAAACTTCACCTATTGATCCAGTTTTCTCAAGTTGGGTTAATATTATCAAAAAAGCTCCAATCATAAATTGTTGAAAGAGCTCAAAGGGAATCTTTTTTTCATTGAATTTCGAAAGTTGAGATTTTTTCAACAGTCAGTGTTTTTTTCTGTTTACTTGGGTTCATGAATCATTTCCAATTCTCAGTTGGCTATGTTTTGTTTTTCTTGTCTTTTTTGAAAACTGCTGTACCTATTGCTTTTCTCTACTGTGAATTTCGAATTCACCCAAGTTCTGGTTTTTCGTTCAGATTTTTTTATCAGACCACACAGAAAAGAAAACACTAATTTGAAAAAACTTTTTTTTGTTTTTTTTTTATGACTATGGTCGGAACATTGTGTGCTATTTGTACAGTAACTGGCTATCCTGTTTATTTGTATAACTTTATGTAAAAGGTTGCTGGGCGGTGTATGGACTAGCATAAAGCTCGACTAGCATAAAAGTTTTAAATTTAAAATTCGTATCGACTAGGATAAAAATTGGTCTTTTTGCCTAATCCGCCCAAAATTGTAACATTAGAAAAAAATAACTGCTCAAATCTGGTTGCTTGAAAATGAATATGACCGTAGCGAGTAATTTGAGCAACTCGTACTGTTAGACAATCATGTGATGTTTTTTTGGGCGGATTAAGTAAAAAGACCCAAAAATCAAAACATAAAAGCCATTTATAGTCAGTTATATACATTATGCAGAAAAAGCATAAATCACAGTTGTTTTTACATATTTCACATTTTTGGGGCACTCAGTGTTCGGTTGAATCCATTACAGGTCTGGGTGTGACTGATCACAATTTTTGTGTTAAGAAATTTCTCGATTTTCTTAATTTCTCGATTTTCTATTTCTCAGATAGGCAAGTTTCAATTTGAAAGGATTATTATTGTTGTTTTTATTTTTATGCTAGTCGTGCGGTCACCAATTTGCTGCTGTGACTCTGCAAGCGGATAACCTTTTTTTGGTTGCTCTTGTTGGCTGTCAAAATGTAAATACGCATTGTGTCTAACATTTTTTGTACATCCGTATCACCTAAATGACGCATATCTTCAATGGGCCAAGTGGTCGAATAATTGGGTCTTCTCGGTTATATCCCCTTCTAAATGATAAAACATGAAAATGAAAGTTTTTATTACAAAATTGGACTGGTTTTGCTTTTAAATGCAGGGCTGATATCCCATACAATGAATCAAGCTTGAAAAAATGCAAAAATTAAGAATTAAGCGATAATTTAAAACGCGTTTTTTTAATGAAATTTATTAGCAGAAAACGGCAAAAAATGGGGGAAAAACGAGGAATTAAATAAAAAAGCTTCATTTTTACCAGTCTTATAATCATATATTGCCTTTATTGGTAATTCTCATTTTTCATTATAACGAAAAGACGCGAGTAATTTGAAGTACTTCGTTTGCTGTTGCATTTAAATTGAGCAGTGTAGATTGATTCATGAAGAAAGCTTTCGAGTGTCCATGGGAAGTATAATTTTTAAAAATGGAATTCTGACTCCCAAGGGTGTTGTTCACTCTGATTATCGAAGCGAGTTCTGTCATTGTTATAACTGGTAGTGTCATCCATTTCATTTCATCAAGGGAATCGTTCCAGTTCTCAAATGCTCGATTTCTCTGATAATCAATCTATGCTTTCTAAAATGTATAAATGCATTAACTGGCCATCCTCTTCATTAACAGCGCGTCCTACGTGTCAATTGAAAATGGTGTCTGAATTAGACTCAATAATCTGTCATTTACCGGATTCGCTCAATCAACGCCGGACAGTAGAAAGCTTATCCCGCGGAAAATTGAAATGGACGTCGTACTGTCTAAAATAAAATAACGAGCAATAAGAGCTGATAATTGACAGGACGAGATTAAAAATTGGTATAATTTGACCAGTTGGGATCTCAGTGATGGTTTTTTTACCTTCCATTATTTTTAACGTCGAAAATTTGATTTTTTTTTCTGATGAAAAAGTACGTTTGCTCTCATTGATTATGCAAATTATAGGCGGAACTTTCCCCAGAATGAAAGCCAAGATGATCCCTGTTTTTGAAAGGAATATCTGTTCCAGCTAGAGACTTGCTTTTGTTCAATTTTATTAGAGTGCTAATAAAACGGAGTTAGAAAACAGAGTGAACTTCACGGTGAGAGGGGAGTATGATAATATGCGGTGTCTGATCTTCAATATATATTTTTTTCAAAGCACGCCTGCTTGTGACATGTTTATCTCTCCTTTTTACAACTCAATTCAACCAGATACGCATTTCACTGGCTTTTATTCTAAATTTCACTTGCAAATTTCAAATTCCTCCAGGCTAATTAAATTTAAATCTGGCTCAGGTTTGGCTCATTGAAGCAATCAATATCTTCATTTGGAGACATCGGCATCAGCCTAATCTATTTGCGTTCTTAAGGTTTTTTCTCTTACCATACGCATTTTTTGGAATTTTCTGCATTACAGATTTTGGTAAATTTGTAAATTATTGCACCCTCATTTTGTGATTTCTCTAAAGTAGTCTTCCAGTGAATCTTCAAAGAAAGTTAAGACTAGAATAATTTTTTATATTTTAAGACTAGAAGAATATTTGTTTATATTTTGAACTTTTAATTCCTTTTTATCCTAGTTGCCTGGGTTGTTTACGTTGGTCAAATATAGGTTTGCCGAACCGTTCCTACTTTTACACCACTGTGCCAGGCCACTCGCTCTGTCTTGTCTGGTGGTAGCAACCTTGCTTATTAAGCGTGTATAATTGGGAATGTTTGCAGACTACTTTAATAATTGTTTGTTCTCTGCATATTTTATCGAATTGCTTTCTTTGAACATTAGCTGGCTACGGGAACAACGGGATTTGTACCAACGTGCTTTGCCAATGCATTACTAGCAATTTTCTTTTTCTCAGTAGCTGCTCGGACGGTTATTTCGCGAGCATAGGGTGTCCCGTCGTGTTATAGAGTAACTTGTTTCTCTGACGGATTTTGAGGACTGTTCGAGTGCTTTGAACGCAATATCGATAACTGCGCTCTGTCCTTTCAATCCAAATCAGTTAGCGCTTTCTTTCAAATAAATCTCGTCTTGTTTTCACCTGTTAAATTCGGATTGTAAACCTTGAAATTGTCCAAGTTTGTACTGATATCAATTTCAGGAAGCAGTTCCAAAAGTGGGCTATTTGTTTGTGACTGCCAATTTGAGCGCGATGAGGCATGAAATCAATTACAGGATCCAGTAAAAAAGATTGTCCTAAGTGCCCCGGGCCCAATTTGATAGTTTTTCAATTACTCGAGCCCTAATTAATGAGTTAGTTATACGGCTTTTACACCAGTCAGATAGTTTGAAGTATCCTAATCTCAAGCAATTCCTGGAGATCAACCGAACTATTTTTAGGTTCAATGTTGCGTGAAGCTAAATTAGGTCATACCGCATAGTTCTATTCATAATATGTAATTTGGCTATTTAACTGGTTTATTTGTTTGTCTGACTATTCAAGTTATTATTCAACTTTATGACATTTACCAATCTTATTGAGGGGGTACTAAGCTTTACAGAGCTCCTTTAAACTTGATCTTAACCCTGGTGTTAAATTGTATAATTCGTTATCGGTGATTCATTGAATCAAATCGGGCTACTTAATTCATGTTTCGAATCAAGAGGTTACGTGCTGCTTCTTCGGGAAGTGAATTAGACTCTACTCCTGAAAGATTGACGGAAAAAAGAACAACGACGGCATCCACGACGAGTTTATGCAACCTGAAAGACAAAAATAAGCTCTTATCCGACAGAAGAAGTATCTCAGAAAACGACAATCATGACCCAGAAGTAGAAAGAGAAAATGCGAAAGCTGGAAATTCAGTATTGCAATCTGGGGCAACGATAAATTCAACATACTGTGAACCATTTTCATCACATACAAGTTTGCATAGCGTGGGACAAATTAGCGCTTCAAGTAAAACAGCAGTTGATTCGGATACGAACGAACAAGCGTTGAAAACGACTTCACTGAAGCGTCAGACACTTTTATCTAGCCAAATAGCATCCGACCAACTGCCATGCATCGAAACGAAGCCATCTTCAGGTCGCACGAAAAGTCTTAAATGGAACAAGGCTGCAAAGGGGTTGTACAGGAAGTTGAAGAAAGGGTATTCGTGTGATACATTGGGGTCCACGGGTTCAGGAGGGTCGAATAGTCGTATGCGTGTATTCAGACGACAGCTTAATGTCTTCGGCAGCGACCATCAAAATGGAAGCTATTTTATAGTGCCAAACGTTGGTTGAAATTTGACAATCGAGTCCACGAAATATTTTTGCATTTTTGTACTTACTAAAAAATAGAGTTTAAGTTAAATTTAGATAATGCGGTTTTTAAAACGCTTTTTTTACCAGGAAATTCAATCAAAGTATCTAAGGGACTTATCGACTCATCAGTATTTTTTATGCAGCGTATGTTTAATATTTAATAAAAAGTCATTTTTCATTGCACAAAGTTTTGGATAAAAAACGTTATATTTTTTCTATTGAAATTGTTCCCCTCTAAACGTATATACATATTTGTATACACGTATGCAAAAATTTGCTGATGAACTATATATACTTTGTATCAATTATGACAATTATTTAATGCTTTGAATTTTGTTTCAGAACTCGAGAGCTGACAGTGCCGAGAACATCTCATCCCATCTTTCCACTTGCACAATCCAGGAAGGCAACGAAGACCCGAACAGCATTAACCAGTGTTCGTCAACCAATCAGAATCACCCATATAACGCAGGGGCGTACGGGGACTCCTCTGTCAATGCAACCCTAGAGAGAGACCAGGGTTCACTTTCACAGAGCCAACTTCCCCCGCCCATGCCAGAACTGTCTCCTTCGTCCGGCCTGGTACGTACGATGAAATCGCCCGACTCTTAGCTGTTTACGAGTTGATGAATGTAGTTCAGACTCACATATAGGTCGCGATGAATTTTTTTCCGTTTTTTTGAGGAAAAAACTCAAAATTTGTTCAGGCTAAAACGCAATTTTTTGCGTTTTATTTCTTTCGGTTCATTTCCTTTGTTAAAAGGAAGGCAACTTCACTATCGAACTGCGAACGTTTAAAGACCACGAAAGTGGAATTACATTTTCAGATATCCCAGCGAAATAAAAATTTTACTTATTGATCCAGATTTACGCTTGCAAGCGTAGTGTATTAGTACGAACCTTTTTTTGTGAAAATTAACTCGCAAATAAAAGTGGTAATTAAGTGTTCACTTATTTGGTGGCAGTTTTGCTATAATCACGATCTGTAACTTTGGAAATTTAGCATCTGTTCTCTGCTTTATTTGTGGCTAGTATTTGTGATTTATTAAGCGTCCGTGGCTGAGTGGTTAGTGCGTGAGTCTCATAATCTGTAGGTCGCAGATCGAATTGGAGACGTAGCCGATTTTTTTTACCAATTCGAGGCTTAATTCTTTTTATATTTATTGCTTTTTATAGAGCTGATTTTTGTCGTGTTCTCGCTACTGTTTGCGAAGCAAAGCTTCGCCTCTCTGACTCGAAGTGGTCAATTTCATCAAAAAAAGTATCAATCATAAATTGTTCTAGAATTTCAAAGAACTTAAAGGGCTTCTATTTTTTCTTTGAAATTCGAAAGTTGAGATTTTTTCAAGAAAGTCAGTTATTTTTTCTGTTTATTTGCGTTCATTATTCTTTTCCAACTGTCTTTTGGTTGTTTTATTATTTATATCTTCAGCCAATCCTCTACTGCAAATCTTAAGTAAAGTCCTTACACTTGCAAAGCGAGTAAAAATAGTTTTTTCATAACATTTAACACAGTTGATGCATTTTTAATTCATCAAATGAACGGAAAAAAGTGATTTGATTTATGCTGTGGTTTTATGCTTTGCGATTTGTTACATGCACAGTTAGTGTGGATGCCTTAAGTTTGATATATTCCAAATTATTATTTGAAAAGTTGAGTGTATTTGTTTTTGATGCCAGTTTTGCTGAATTGCATTGGCAATTTGTTAGCATATATAGCTGCTTTATTAGTGACTAGTGTTTGTCGGTTGTTAAGCTTGCATGGCTGAGTGGATAATGCGTGAGACTCAAAATCTCTTGATTGAAGTAGGTCGCAGATTCGAATCCTACACGTAGCTGAGTTTTTGCTAGTTCGAGGTTTATTTCTACTTTATCTTACTTCACTTGATAGAGCTGCTTTTTAGTCGTGTTCTCGCAAGTGTTTGCGAAGCGCAGCTTCTCCTCTGTGTCAATTTTTGCTAAGTTTTCACTTTCTCAAACTATCTCATTCCAAGAATTGTTCGAAACTTCCTTTACATGTGTGGGTTAACATGTTAAGTTTCAATTCCTGTTTGATGGAAACAAGTGTTATGAAATTATATGACCCGCAGAAAAGTCACCCTTTGATTTCTCGTCCTTTTTTGAAACTTTTTGATTTTCTTCGAAATTGCCCTGCCTAGTCTGATATCAAGTGTATAATGGTTGGAACAGGTTATGGGAAGCCTTAGTCCATAAACGGTTAAGATTCAATCTGTAAGAAAAATGTCCTTGGGGAAAATTCAAAATTATCAAAAGTTTCACTCTAGTTATTTTTTAGAGAAACAACCTAGGTTTTGGGCGAAGCTCATTTTTGGAATAACCCATTTCATCCCGCTTAAGTATAACAAATTGAAAAAAAAATCAAACAAGTACGGCCAGTTTTAGCTGGGCCTCTAGTTTGTCGAAATCAATAGAATTTATCTGCAATTTTTGCATATATATATTAAATAGGTGAAAATTCAGGAGCTAATCAATATTCGGGAATGAAGTGTATTATGAAAATTAAGCATAGTTTCTTTTCCTATATTCGATTATCTTATCCACATGAGACGGAACAATTTATCGATTTTCAGCGGAAAAAAGAAAGGGACTTATTGACTGATGATCTATATTGTGTAAACTCTACACAACCATTTTTGGCTTTAGCCTTTTTTCCTCGCGGCTGTCTGTTTTAAAGAATTTCGTATTCAACTTGTTTCTAAAAGGTTTCAATTTAATTGGCGTGTGTTCGGTTTTTACGTTTGTCGCGCTGTTCGTTTTAAAACGGAAATAGTTATATAATCTTTTCCGTAGCTGAACAGCTTTGTTTAATGGGAGGATGACTTTTATTCTAAACAGTAGTGGCAGATTTGCGTCTCTACTTACCGTATTCTCTAAGTTTTGATGTAAATGTTAATGATACCTGTGAGCAAAACGTTACCCAGGCATCGATAAACTAACTGCATCAAATAGTTCAAGTAATTGAGGAATTAGTTCGTTTGCCGTTTCTGAACTTACGAGAAATAGCGTTTACGTCTGAAAGGTAAGTGCGTGGGAACTGATTTTTTATAAGCTCTGGAAAAGCTTACTAGAAGTTAAGTTCCCTAGCAGAATTTCCTTTTCCATCAAAGTGTAAAGGTCATGAAAACTGTAAAAGGTCATGAAAATTACTTCTAGTTTTAAAAATGGACATAAACCAGTTGTCTTTCAATGGGATAATTTTGCCAATCATAAAGAGAGAAAAGCGCCAATCATAAACAACTCTTGAAATTCAAAGAGCTATACATGGTATATTTTTTGTTCGAAATTTGTGAGTGAAAAACGTTCAAAAAATTTCAGTCAACTCTTTTCCGTTTCCTTGTTCTTTTTACATTTTTTTAACCGGTTGACTATATCTATGTTTATATTATTATCTGATTTCAAAAGATTCAGTTGTGACTGGCTTTCCATATTATCTAGACTAGAAGGGCTTTAGTGAGCGTAGTGTTATAGTACGACTGTTCTTTTTTCCAATCTAAGTCGCAAATATTGGTGCCACTTTTGGCGGCACCTTTACGGCTTTTTGAAAATGTGCTCTGTTACTCGATTATTAACAAATTAACACAGTTTATGTAATTTAAAATTATCAAATGAACAGGAAAAAGCTATTTGTTTCAAACTACATAATAATTAAAATTCGATTTCAGAAATATCTCAGAAATTTTAGAAATTTTCCAACTCAATATATCTCAAGCTGCTAACTCCAAAATTCAATTTTCTTTTTCATTATAAAAGACTGATTTTTTTCATTAAGCGCAGATGTCATGTCCATGCTTGGGTCGGTTCTCAATTGTTTACGGTAATCCTTTTTTTTATCAAGTTAATGAAAACACTACATAACTTTGTGCAGGATGAGTTTCTTTGTATAGTCTTTTACATATCCTTTGTTGAAAGGAAGGTAAACATCTTTATCGAACAGCAAAACTGTGCCGATTGTAAGTGCAGCGGTGCAAGCCATTCTTTTTGCCAAGTTCGCTTTTTAAGTTTTTTTTTTTAATTTTAAGCCGCTTTCCTTACTTAAAATTTGGAAGCTGTCTTCTCTTGCGAGTTGTCTTCTGTTGCGGTTCCGTATTGTTGACCACGAAAGTTTGTTTTTGAGGAAAAAACAACATAATATGCATAAATTCTAAAATTCTGTCACTTCCTTTGATGCTGATCCGATCAACTGAAATATTTTCTTTTGGTTTTTTAGTTATGTGAAGGAATTGCTGTTTTTAGATTTACTAGGAAATAATTTAGGGTGTTTTTGGACCCTCTTTGGCGATCGAAAGAAAATTGCATCATTGTTTTGAATAGATTTTACGCTTCTTATCAACAATCGTTATCAAGTCGAAACAGATTTTTCAGATTGAAAACTTGTCTAGCAGAATCAGTTGATTATTTGGTTAAGGGTAATTTAAGTTTAATGACTGGATCTGCGGTTTTGGCAAAGAGGTAATGTAATGTCAATTCTTAGGACAATATATATCTGGAGTTCAAATCCGGGTAGGTCCTGCACTTTTTGCAAACTGGATTTTCAAAATTGTTGAAGTTTGTGGTCTATCATGTGTCTGCTTAGTTTGTCGCCTTAATTTCTACTGGCGGTATTTTTTGATGCTTCAGTCGTTTTTATTTTTAAAGGGTGCCAATATATTCTCAATGCTACAAGTAATTGAGTTCAAGATAGTTAGTGACAGTAGGAAAATTTATAAATGTTTTTCCTTTTCATTGTGCTAAATTAGCCAAGTTATAGCCAAATTATTGAGTCAAGATATCGCATTAACTTAGTGTATTTTTTCTAATTCGTATGAAAGAAATTCGAAGAAAACAACTCGTTGCTGTTCTGTAAGAACTTTCGGAGATTATGGAACGTAGAGCAGTTCTCTCACATGGTCATTTTTGTTCCGACTGCTCTTTTCGGATCGTTTTTCATTTTTTTTAAAAATTGAGTGTGTGTTAAGAAGTTGAGTGTGTTATCATATCGAAGCTTTATTGGTTATGATTCGGATTCTTGGAAATTTTAAGACTAAATTAGACTGTTTGCTAAGAGGCTGACCTCACGTCTTGTTTTTGCAGATTTATTTCGCTAGATTGTAACGTTTTTGTAACTATAGTTATATGCTTTTTTGCTTTGTTCGCCTAATTCAATCCCATTGTATACAAGTAAAATTTACAGGAAATAAAATTTAAATTATTTGAAAATTTTCTTGAAATCATTTTGGTCGGAGCCTTTTTGTGCTACTTGCATAGCGATTGTATATCCTTGTTGTTCCAATCATTGAAAATTCAGATGAACTTTGTATTCTTGTATGTTTCCGTTTTTTCTTTAAAACTCGATTAACGAGTTCAGATATAGGTTCCGATGATTTTTTCCAGGAAAAGTCTTTTTTTTTAGGCTTAAATTACCCTTTCGTGGTTTGAATTTGATTTTTCAAGTTCAGCTAATTTCCTTTGTTAAAAGGAAGGCAAACTCCGTTATAGCACAGCAAATGAGTAAAGGGCACAAAAACGTGATCGTCTTCTCGTTTCGAAAGTGGAATTTAATTTTAGATTTCCCAGCGAAACAAAAACTTCACTCATTGATCCAGTTTTCTCAAATTAGGTTTATTTTATCACATGAAAGCCATTTATAAACTGTGCTGGAATTTGAAAGAGCTTTACAGGCATCTTTTTTCCCTTTGAAATTCGAAAGATGAGATTTTTTCAAAAAGAAGTGTTTTTTTTTTTCAGTTTACTTGCGTTCATTGGCTCTTTTCCAACTGTCTGTTGGCTGAGTATTTTGCACGCAAAATGAGTCACTACGAGTAATCATTAGAATGGGTTGAGTGAATATCATATTAAAGTCATAACTTCTTTGTAGTTGCACCAGAGTTGAGAGTAACTAGTTTGAAATTTTTGAGTTTCAGTCTAATTTCGAGCTAGTAGAGCATTCGAGAAACGTTCGTTGCACATAAAACTGGCTATTTATGCTACGAAAACTTGATTTCATCAAATTTGGATGTTTAGAAGCTAAGTTTTAAGCTTAATTGGCAATGAAAGTTTTCAAAAAAAAATTGAAATTTTAAGCGAAAACTTTTAAACCATTTTTTTTTTCAAAATCTTCCTTTTTTGTTTGTTCGTTTTTTGGAGACTAGTGTTTTAGATTATGCCTAATTTTTTAAAAATTTTTACACATTTTTATAGTATTTTTATCACATCACGCTCAAGTTTGACTACAAAAAAAAACTTCTTTGGTAGATTTTCTAAATTTTGGTCAACTTTTTTTAAAAAAATTGTTAAGTCGGCCGTTTTGATTTTGAAAAATGGATATATCAAATTAGTACAAAGGGGAAGCCTTTGGGTCGGTAGAGAGTCAAATCCCTAAGGGGGTGTCTCCCATAAATCCACTACTGCCTAGAGACAACATAGGGAAACAACTGTAAAGGTAAGATTAATCCAAATTTTTGGTTTCAGTCTAATCAAGCGGCTGCTCCTGTGGACATGAGACGCAATAAATCGGCCGCCGATATCTGTCCTTTCCAGGGCATGGTAAGTACACCAAGAAATTCCAAAAGCAAGTGTAACAATTGGAGAATGCCCAGTAATGCTTGATTTGTATAGATAAAATCAGTGTGATGAAAATTACCAACAATAATTCAAGTATCAAAGCTCTTTTGAAATACTTTCTTACGTGACGTCATATAAGCCAGTGCGTTGCCTTTAATATTCGCTTTATTCAAAAATCATGATGATTTTCTGAATCTATACCTGAGAAAAAGATCATATTTGGCTCTATATCTTAAGTCTGGAATATCGAGGACGGGAATGCAGGTTAAGATGAATGACTGGCACTTATAGCCTTGCTATTTGGTATTGATTTGGTTTGGTTGAAAGGTTAACGGTGTTGTTCGTTAAAAATTAAACGTTAATGATCCAAAGGATATAAGCTAATTTTTTATCCTGATGTTATCCGACCTAATGTATGAGCATGTTTTAATCAACTAGAAGCTCAGCACAGGGCGAAGCAATTGAACGTAAGTTCGAAGACAAAAGTGGGAGTGGTAACAACTTCTTTATAAGCGTCCATGGTTTACAGGGTCCATGGTCCATAACAACAATAATCACATGGTGTTTTGCTTCAGTCACTGGATGAGATCACAGTGGGCCACCCCCCACGTGAGCCATGTACTAAGAGGGAGTGTATGGTGTTCGAGATAGCGGACACGGAGGCCAAGTACGTGCACAGTCTGGGCACCATAGTGGAACACTACATGGCTGCAACTTCTACAAACACCACAGCCAACTTCAACAACACGTCACCCTATTCTGCTTCTGACGTCACGACAGGTGAAGAGGGAGTTGCGACAAGTTCAGATGGACTGAATAAATTAAAAAGAGCAATTTTCTGATCGTGCCACATTTTCGCTGAGGATTTAGATGTTGTCATGCAAAATCTTCCCGAATTTTTCAATTGCTTTTCTGAATTCATTTTGTCTATGCGAAGATTTGACAATTCATTAAATGTTAAAAGCACAATGGGAATTGGAATTAATCACGTTTTCCCGTCGCTTGATATTAGTAACTTTAAATTACAGAAGCAAGGCAGGAAAGGCAATGCGTTTCTCGAGATGTGAGAAAAAGCCCTGCTAAATGAAATTTCATGTCAAACATGAGCTGAACATTCTTTGTGCTGAGTGAGTTCTGTGTGCTGAATGTGATTGTTTTCAGGTGCTCAAAACAACTCAGCCTCATCTACTTTAACAGCAGCGTCCAGTGGATCCCAGTGCATTCCGGTGCCCGCCGAGCTGGCAGACAGACTACATATCGTGTGGGGCAACATCCGACAGATTTACGAGTGGCACCGCAATACTCTCCTGCCCGCGTTAGGCTCTGCCTGCTACGCCGACAACCTGCTAGAAGTCGCTAATTGCTTCATTAAACACGTGAGCATCATAACTTTGTGCGTCATAACTTAGTGCAAGTTTCTCTGCGCGAGTTTCCTAGATTGTCGCAATTTAATGAAAGTTTTAAAAATTGATTTCTGTGGTGAATAGATGAAGAAGTTATTCGAAACAGTTAGAGTCACCACTTGGCTTTTAGAGACTCGATGAACGTAGCTTAGACTCTTATATAGGTCGCGATGATTTTTTTTAGGAAAAAAATTTCTTTAGGCTTAAATTTACTTTCTTCTCGGTTTGAGTTTTGATTTCTTTTTAAGTTCAGTCCATTTCCTTTGTTAAAAGGAAGGCAAACTCCATTATCGAACAGAAAAAGTAAAATTCATTAAAAACCTGAGTGACTTCTAATTTCAAAAAACAGTTTAAAAATAAAAGTTTACCTATTTATTTATCCAATTTTCTCAAATTGAGCAAAAAAAATAGTGTCAATCATAAATTGTTCTAGAAAATCTAAGCGCTTTAAGGCCATCTATTTTTTTCTTGGAATTTTGAAAGATCTTTTCAAAATATAAGCGACTTTTCTCTACTTGCGTTCATTGACTCTTTTCCAATTGTCTGTTGGCTATGTTTCTGTTTACTTGCTTTCAATGACTCTTTTCCAACTGTCTGTTGGCTCTGTTTTGTCATACGCCCGCTAATCCGCTATGGGCTGCTTTCGCAATGTCACCACCATGCTTTGAATCATGTATTTTTTAATGAAAATAATCGTGTTTTGACGATTTATAGTTTTTGCGTCCTAGAATATAAAGGTCTATTCGAATCGGTTATTTAGCGCTTTAAGAGTTGATGAACGTAGCGAAGACTCTTATATAGGCGGTGATTGTTTTTTTTCTTCATTTTTTGTTTTCAGGAAATCTGGGAAGTTTTTTCAGGCTCAAATTTACTTTTTGTACGGTTTGACTTGATTTTTTCAAATAACAAGTCAGTATTTGTTTCTGTTTTTTTTTGCCTTCATTGCCTGTCTGTTGGCTTTGTAACTGGTTTCGATCGAGTATCGGCTGTACGTAGATCTAAATTCTGTTTCAGTTAAAATTTTTGTTTGTGTTTCAAGGAGAGGCGTTTCCTAATGTATTCCAAATACGCATTGAACCTTCCCAAGGCTGACTATATAATGGGCGAGTTCGACAGCTACTTTGCCGATCTGAGGAAGACTCTCAACCTGAAGCTGAGTCTGAAAGATCTCCTGATTGAGCCAATCCAGCGAGCCATGAGGTACCAGCTTATGCTGCAGGGTCTAGTCGGACACCTGGAAAAACATCAGGAGGAGCTGAAGACTCAAGAGGAGTCCGGACATCTGGACCGTTTGCGAACGAGTTTGAAGGTCATGGCAAGGATCCCGAAAGAAGTCAATGATATGATGCAACTGGGAAAGCTGTTTGACTATGACGGGAAGAATGGAAGTATCACGGCACAAGGAAAACTGATTCTACAGGCATCTGTGAGGTAAGGCACAAAAAAGTGCAAAAGAATTATACAAACAGAAATTTTCATGGAGAGGGGGTTTTATAAATAGATCTTGTTAACTATTCCCTTATAAATGGATTTTGTTAACTATCCCCCCCCCCCTATTTCGATTTTCAGAAATTCAACTTTGGCGGCCACAATTCCAATAGCTTACAACAATTTTCAGAAATTAAATATTTGAAAATTTTTACGTGGGTATTATATAAATAGTGAGTAATAAAAATACGAACGCGCGAAAATGAAAACCCACTTAATTGTTGACATTTTCGAAATGCATATTTTATACAGAAACGGTTGTCAAAAATAATACATGCATAGGGGGGATAAAAGGGGGGGGGGGAATAGTTAACAAGATCCTTATAAATTAATGCTTTTAAGGTTTTAAAATTTGTCGCAAGTAGATGCATAAAAATTGTTCTTATTTTTCCAAATTTTCAGACTTGAAATTCTTTTTGCGACTTATTTGATTGCGACAACTACTGCAGATTTTCTTATCAACACTAGGTTCTACTCTGAGGGCTCGCCAAACTTAAATAGCAGTTCGAACAAGAAAAAAGACGCTAAGAAGCTTAACTCGGGTGCTTCGGGGGGCGTTGACGCCTCTGCAGATCTGGATCCGAGACACGTGTTCCTATTTGAACAGAGCATGCTAGTAGCTGAAGCGGAGAAGGGCTCTGGATCCTCTAATTTTATTGGACCCAGATACTTCTTCAAAAATTTTATCAAGGTAAATTATCAATTACTTGAAAAAGTGTATATAGATTGCCATTTACAAGTTTTTGTGAGAAAGATAAGATGATGCCGTCTATTTCTCCAACATTATTAAATCAAAACTAGTTGTAAATATTAAACTTATCAATCAGTGCAATGAATAAATGAAATGTTGGACCAATTTAACTTCTGTCATCATAGTGTAGTTCCATGTTTTTAGTTCCCGGTTACTGAATATTTGTAATCATACTTAACGCTTAAATACTTGTGTTTTACATAAAAATCCAAATGATGCTTGATTTACAGGGCAGTTCAATGAACGGAGTGATCGTGGAGGCGAACAACAACAGTAGTAACGGATCAGTGAGCAATGGGGCCTCCTCATCTGAGTCGAGTAGTGTTGCGGCTGCGCCTGTTCAGTTCAGACTGGAGTGCAGCAATGACAAGAACTACGAGCTGCAATTTGAGAGCAGTGCCACCTGTTCACAATGGGCAACCACAATTACAAACCTCATCATGGACCGCAGAGACTTCGCGAGAGGTGAGTTGGTGACTTGCGAGAAGAATAATTGAGAACTAGATTTGAACCAGGGTTATGTCACCATTTGCTGAAACCGCTTAATAACTAATCGCTATTATGAAAATATCGCTAAACAGCTTTCTGGTGGTTGCCTTCTGGGATGCTGTCAATTGGCATATTATATCATCCGCAGCAAAACATAACTATTTGACCTGAGATTTAAGTCTATATTCGAAATCATGGCGTGCACTTATCTAAAAGTTATCAATGTTTGAGCCGCATGTGGGGAGTGAAAGTCACTGTTGCTAGTATAGTTGTTAATTTTTTTGGCATGCCCGCTGCTTTGCTATGGCCAGTTTTTCGCGATGTCTCCATCATGCTTTGAATCATGCGTTTTTTGATGAAAATGAGCATGTGGTTTTTCGAGTCCTAGAATATAAAGCCAGCACTTATTAAGAGTTGATGAATGTAGTGAATACTCTTATATAGGTCGTAATGATTTTTTTTCGTTTTTTTTTCAGGAAGTAAAATTTACGTTTTTTTTGTTTGACTCGATTTTTTGGTCAGTTCATTTTCTCTAATGAAAGGAAGGCAAACTCCACTATCGAACAGAAAAAGTGTGAAAGGCCCGAAAAACGTGATCGATTTCTAATTTCGGAAATGAAATTCAATGTTCAAATTTTCCAGCGAGATAAAAAAGATTACCCATTGATCCAGTTTGTGCAAATTGGGTTAATTTTATTAAGAGTAATGAACGTAGTGAAGACTTTTATATAGGTCTTGATGATTTTTTGTTTTTTTTTTCTCAGGAAAATCTTAAAAAGCTCTAATAACCAGAGATGTGCATTTATACATTTAATGCAGTTATGAATTCACTTAGGTATATATGCTTTATTGAAATTTATTTATATGCTATAGGTATATATTGAAATTCATCTGTTGAAAGTTACATTAATAGCAGTCTCCAGATACGAACGTGGAAATGGCGCAAAAAAAACGTGAACAGTTTCGAAAGTGGATTTTAATTTTTAGATTTCCAGCGGAATAAAAACTTTACCTATTGATCCAGTTTTCTCAAGTTGGGTTAATGTTATCAACAAAGTGCCAATCGTAAATTGTTCCAGAAATTCAAAGAGATTAAAGGGCATCTGTTTTTTTTTCTGTGAAATTCGAAACTTGAGATTTTTTCAACATAGTCAGTGTTTTTTTTACTGTTTACTTGCGTTCATTACTCTTTTCCAACTCAGTTGGCTATGAGTTTCTGTTTACTTGAATTAATTACTATTGTCAGTTAGCTATGTGCAAAAAGTGTCAATCATAATTTGTTCCGGAGCTTTTATGTCATCTTTTTTTCTACGATTTCGAAAGTTTTATTCATGTTTACTTGCGTTCGTTGGATCTTTTACAACTGCCTGTTGGCTATGTTTTAAATGTAGACAAGAAACGGCTTGATTTTTCCGTGTCGTACAAAAATGGTCGCGAATTACTACTGCGTGCTATACAGACTCAATTCAAGAAATTGATTACATTTCCGAGAGCAAGTTAAAAAGAAATCCTTTTCCTTAGTTTTCAGATTTCAGCGCGTGAAGTCATGTAGGCACGCAATACACATGACATGGCATTTCTTTTACTATTTGTGTTTTTTTTTCAGGAAAAAGTCTAAAAATTCTTCATGGTCAAATTTGATTTGTGATTTTTTCTGTTCTGTTCAATTCCTTTGTGAAAAGGAAGGCAAACTCACCATCGAACAGCAGAAGTCTCACGCTCACGACAACGACATTGACTTTTAATTTCGAAAACGGGATTTCAATTTTTAGGAATCGCAGCGGAATAATCATCTATTGATCCAGTTTTTACACGAGCGTAGCGTTGTGTGATAGTACGATGAAAATTAGTTTTCCAATCTAAGTCGCAAATAAAAGAGCTGCTTTTGATGGCCTTTTTGAATCACTAGGCTGTATTAGCAGTATAATGCCAATTATTTTTAATGGTTACCGTTAGTTTATTTCATTCCAAATTGTTACATGCAAAATTGGATTTTTTGTACATTTTGCTGACAAGCTCCTGAATTTTTGCCGCTTTCTCGATCGTGTTTGCGAAGCTGCACCTTCGCCTCTTTAAGTAAATTAATGTCATACGCAGCGATCTTGTCATATCCAGCGTCGTCCAGGTTCACCTATACCCATATCTGCACTTTCAGATGCACTTGATATTAGGATTTTATGTGTGAAAATTATTTTAAACAAAAATTGATTTTTTTGAGATATGAAGCATGAATTTTTTAGATATGAAGCAGCCAACATCTATAGTTTTATTTGCAGTTCATTGTCAAGAAACTTGCTGTTTTTTAGCTCACCGTAAATGTCTATCTAGCTCCTTTTAAAATAACTAGACATCTGAAACTTAATTAGCTGTGTTTTTAGCGCTCTCAAAGCCAATCGAGTTCCAAAAGAAACAGCTTCTGAACAGCAGCAATAGCAGTTGCAATTCGAGCAACAGTTCCTCAGCCAACGTCACTAGTTCGAAGCCCGCAGTCTCCGCGCCTCCAATTCTGCTCACAACGCATAATCCTTGAAAGAACCCATCAGTTTCGATCGACGGGAATTGAAATGAACGAGCATTTCGGAAGAGAGGTACTTTACTTTAGCAGGAAGCAACTGAACATTTTAGAATGCCGCGGAGATGCTTTCGATGTAATTTTTTTTTTCGTTTTCTATCCTAAAAGCGCTTCTATTTTCCTAGTCGATTTGTTTAATAATTAATTACAACGGAGTGTCATCAATCACAAAACAAACAGACAATGCCAGATTAAATCTTCTCGAAACTGCAGCAATATTTCTCCTTAATTACAACACGTACCTTCTTGATGCCAATTGTGTAAGCTGTTGATGTAATTGTAATCATTTCAGTTTTGTGTTTAGATAGAAAGATTTGCAAAATGTCAATATATTAGTTAATTTATACAAAATTTACGGAGCCGCAAATATTTATTTACCCAATTTGCTGTTGGATTTTTGTCTTGGAATTACTCCTAAATTGTGTGGCACTTTCGATATATTTTGCTGTCAGCTTGTCGCATAAATAATAGATTGATTTCTTGACGATACAAATTTTCTTGCGCAGTTTTTTTGCAAGTACCTGTCAAGCTCAAATGGAATATTGGACTTGGAATACCGTGCATTTGGATAATGAACAAATTTAACTGAAAAGTGGAATTGTACAACTTAATATGCAAGTTGTTAGATAGTTATGATTATTTTCAAAAAATCGATCAATACAGTGAAATATAATTTTGTGACTGACATTTTTAAAGAAATTGGCTGGCATATATCTAACAATTTTAGTGGTGAATGACAATGAGACGAGTCCGATCTAGACACTGAACTCAAAAGAAATTTAGGGGAGACAGTCAGGGGCGGATTTGGGGGATTCGACCCCCTGCCAACCCAAAGGGTCCCCTTTAGTATTTTTTAAGAAATCCATTTTTGAACGACCGACCCTAAAATTTTTCTAAAGGCGCCTTGGGCGCCAATATATACTAACTTTGAGGGGAAGCGCGCCAAAAAACGCGATTTTTTGTCAAAATTTTCCAAAAACGGCTTTTTTGACCTGTTTTTTCAAAAACTCGCTTCTTAATAAAGAAAGGAAAGCAGGTTCCTTCCAAATGAAAGGAAAGCAGGTTTTCATGAAAATAGATGCTAAATTAGACGAAGGTCCCGTGACTAATTCTTCAAATTTAGCGAATATACACGTCAAAGTTCGGTACGTCAATATTATTGTTTTATGCCCAACAGGATCTGCACTTTTTGCATACCTGAAATATTCTGCTGGCATGAGCGCCTTTTGGCCTAGTTACTACATCACACATTTTACTGTTATAGGTTCCATATATACTGTTTTTTTTCTAAATAACCTAATTGCCTAAATAAACTTCAAGAGTCAAATTAAAATGATCTAAACTGCTCAAGAAAATAGGTGAATTCGTTTTTCAGCTTGATGCTAAATTAGAAGAAGATCCCGTGACTAATTCTTCAATTGGAGTTTGAAGTTTTTTGATACATTTTTGTATGGTGCTAACAAGCTTTCCTGCCTATTTATTCGCATGCGTTGTCTTTTTCTCCGGCTTAATTGGAAACACCTCGAAGTAACAGCATCTTCGGAAAAAATACTGGCACCACGTTATCTCAAATGACTTATCAACAACTGCCAGGTAGCAACAAAGTAGCTTTGTTCCCGCGGAAACATATCGTGACTTATAATTGCAGTCTCGGTTTTCCAAGAAAAAACATAGCCAAAAACATTATACGTCACGATATTTCATTTAAACCAATTCATGATAAATGTAGATAAAACTCAGTTCATCATTTTCTGTGCTCCATCACTAAAGAATTTCATAGAAAACTGCAAGCTGCAAGTAGGAAATTACCAAGTCAAAATGGGCCTAGTTACTACTTCAGAGATTTTATTGTTATAGGTTCCATATATACTGGTATTTTTCTAAATAACCTCATTGCGTAAAAGGAACTTCATGAGTCAAATTAAACTGCTCTAAGCTTTTCTGCAAAGTATGGAACATTGTCTGAAAAGCATGGAAGTCCCTCACAAAGAAAAATTTGAAGCATTTTTATTGCTTCCAGTCAATAAGCCTTTAGGACCGAGTAAAATACCTGTTTGGGCCCTAAAAGACAAGGTGCACATAATCAACCCTATTTTAACTATGCTAATAAACGAATGTATCTCGAACGCTGAATTTCCACAAGGCTTGAAAAAAGGACATGTTATTCCTGTATTCAAAAAAGGAGAGACAGTCGATCCAATCAACTACCGACCAATTTCCATAACACCAGTTGTCTCTAAATTATTATTTTTAAAAATTTCAGCTCAAATAAATCAATTTTTGTTTGATAATAATATCCTAAACCGCAAACAATTTGGTTTTAGGCATAATTATTCGACCAATGATGCTCTTCTATACACAACAGAAAAAAATCAGACACCATCTTGATAAACATAATGTAGCAGCAGCGGCCTTTTACATCTCTCGAAAGCGTATGATTCACTTTCACATCCCGTCCTCAAACAAAATTTGAGGAATGTTGGTTTTGAACCATCAGCCGCTGGTATAGCAGATTCTTTTCTAGAAAACAGACAGCAGCAAACAATTGTGAATGATGCATATTCAGATTGGCTTAAATTGGAACTAGGTGTACCTCAGGGTTTTGTACTAGGACCTCTGCTGTTTAACTTATATGTTAATGATATGCCAGAAATTCTAGACAGTATGCCGATGATACAACACTGCTGAGTATCCACTCAAATCCGATGTCCGCAACATAATTCATTGAATCCAGTTTCAACAGAATACTCTCAGATTTTCATTTAAACCAATTAAAGTTCATCATTTTCTCTGCTCCATCACTAAAGAAACTCAAAGAAACCTGCAAGCTGCAAGTAGGAAGTTACTAAGTCAAAATATCTGAATCCGTTTCTCGGTGTTAACATTCCTGTTACTCAATACCCTTGTATTAGGTCATTTACAATATCCATGCATGCTTTTGAATGGTTTTACTGAAGAAAATTTAGATAAGCTGGAAAAGTAAATAAAATGGGGCATACGAATTGTCATGAACATACACAAGGGATTGCGTCATACACGTGAGGTAAAAACACAGAATTCCCACTGCTAGAGATATAATCAAATACAGATCAACACAATATCTTCATGAATTAAGGCAAAACAATTAGAGCATTTAACTTTCCGCAGTTTCCGAATTCTAATATCCACTTTAATCATCGCACCGGCTCAATTCTCCCGCCAGGGTTGTGTAAAACCGATATTTGTTGTAGGTCATTCCTATTTACATCAATAAAAAAGTTTAACTTGGTAATTCAAAAATCATCTCCATCTACCAACACCCAACTTCCCCCTTACTTTTTAAGGACAGTCTTAAATAATCTTATGTATTCAGTGACTGATTAAAAAATTTTCTATTCACGTATTTAATAATAATGTACACTTGTTCCATCCACAATCAGTTTTTTTTTTCACTTTGATGAGCCTTGTTTTTACTGCGTTTTCCTGGGAGTTCAAAATTGTAATTTTATTTTTTTTTTCAGAAAATTTTCAATTAGTTTCAGTTTTACATAGTTTTTCAGTAAAAAAAAATTAATTTGTTTTATTCGTGTTTTTTTTATAGTGATGGATATGTTTGTTGTTTTGCAAAAACATATTTCTCTTTACACAATGGCATTTTTTGGGCCGATGCCGTGTTGCAAGCTTCGCTTTGCGTCCCTTTTGTTTTTTATTTTGTATAATAAGCTATACAGCACCAAGTAGGTTTTTGAAGAAGTTCATGTTAATATTTTTGTGTTCATGTTAATATTTGGAAATTTAATTTTACTGAATAAAGTATTATGAATACAAATACTTTTTGCGGTTTTTGTCGTTTTATCAAGCAGTAGATCGGTCCGTCGTTTAATCGTTGTTTACGCCGTGATTTCGGTCTTCGTGCAATACCTAGTATTTCTCGTATTGTTTGAAATATTGGCGAAGATTCATTTAGACGAAGAGACATTTCTATTAAATTGTCTGTTTCAGATAAGGTACACCGTCTGTTCGTCACGCTAACTTTTTTTCGACCGGATAGATTCGTGCAACTTCTTAGTTTAATACCGGGCATAATCTTCTTCCTATATATCCTAGTCTCAAAAGATCTAGTGTATTCAGAGATAAGATATCAGGAGCTGTTCTGAAGGAGAACGACTGTTGGCTTAGTAATATTTATTCTGTTCTGTCGCGGACACTGTGAAAAGTTTCAGCTATTCAATTTATAGTAAATGTTAGTAATAGATCGTGATTGGTTAGTAAGAAATGTTTTACAGAGATAGTTTTATCAACAAAATAATTGGATATAAATACTGGTTTTCAACTGGTTCCACCCATCCGGGGCTTAGAGAGTTTTAAGGTTAATGTTTATTGTAGTCGAGGACGGATGGAGAGACTTCTTGATTTTTGAAGTAGATTCTTTTGAAGATGTGGCTGCGTGAATGAAGAGAAAGAAACAGTTGCTCTTGTTGCAGAATAGTTGTCTTCCTGGAGATAAAAGGAACAGTGGCTCGTTACTTTAGAAGCGGGTCTCTTGTATCCAGATCGTGTTGGGTGATTGTGTTAGGGCTTCAGATTCATGCAATCATGTGATTCATGCAATCATGTGTTGATTTCGTTAAGCTAGAGCAAGACTACGTGCATTTTCAACTATTCATCGAATAGCGAGGTGGGATTTGACTTTTCTGTGTGAAGCGCCAAGTGACGAGGATTCGTAAATAAGATCAACATTGAGTGACCATTGTTCGTCTTCAATATGTACCTCTCCTGCTATGTTGGATCCATACTTTAAATTCTATGAGGGTTGTGACTTTGGCAACAAACCAATAGACTTGCCATTCCAGAGACGGAATGTCATCGAGTTTTTATCTCCCATTGCTGCTCGTTTCTTTTGCTCTAAGAACTCTTTTTACATTGCCTATTCATATATGCATCTTGTTAGTGATATCAGTTTTATTTTTGATTTTAGTAGTTGTTTTCGCAAAAGCAATTTGTTTAGTTTCGGTTATTTTATAAAGTTGCTCCCCTAGAGCTACTCTCGTCAAAAATAGGAGAGCGTTTCCTAAGCGTGGTATAGCGCGAGTGGTGAGGCCGGCTATGGAGCATGCTCAGGGCGTCCTTTACTGGTGGGTTAGGCCAGTTGTGATTGTAAGATTTTACCGTCTTTTTGAGCAGAGTCTCTTTTTGTGTTCAACTTTTTGTTCTTTTTTATCAAGTGTTTTTTTCTTTTTGTTTTTGGTTGCGTCCTTTTTTGGAAAAGAGATTGTCGTGTTTTATCTTTGACCGTGAGTTTTTATTTTTCCAACTGGTTTAATGACACTTGAAAGTGGATTTGAAAAGAATAATTTATCCAGTTTTAATCTGGGTTTAATCTGGTTTGGGTACCACGGGACTTTCTCATACATGCGGTTGATTATGTGGCATTAGTAAGCTGCGTTAGTTAGTATAAGCTTATTTATATCTTCTTCCAAACGGGTTACGGGAAAGTTTTGAAACGCATGAAAGTAAGTTAAAGTTGTTATAAGTTAGTCTCTAAAAATTAAAATTCATTATTTAAACAATTCTACGTGGGCGCTTTGCATATTTTTGTGGAAAGAGTGCGTGAAATGTTAGCGAGTGAATATCAAATTTTCGAGTTTTATAAAAAAAAGCTCACAAAAAAGGTTAGTGTTCATTAATTTACTTTTCTTTCTTCAT